AGTCTATAACTATGTAAGGACATGAAGGTCCTTTCTGCCTACAGGCCAGGAGTATCTATGCCTCCTTCACGACTTCTTTCCAGCAGTAATAAACCCACAGGTATTTATTCGAGTACACACTAAGAGGAGCCGTTATCCCGTCATTATCTCCTCTATACAGCCAACAAAACGATGGCCATTTACGAGTTTGTTTGGTTTGGTTTGTTCTTTAACGTGCTAGGTAAAGCGACTACCGTTGCACTCCTCCTGTAGCTTAGGCACGGGTGGGGCCGGGCTGGATCAGGTTGACTACCATTAAGTACATCTACCCCGTCCCACCTGAATGAACGGACCACCTTAGAATTCAACCATGTGTTGAATCATGTCAAGCCCAACCGTCCAGAGAATCCGTTGTACACACGCCGTGGCGCAAATTCCTCCTCAGCCTCGCCCACTACGCGCCTGAGCCGTAGATACCTCCGCGATCTGTAACTTTTCCCTTCCGTTTTGTCCCAGCTTTGGCTCATCTCTTCAACTCATCAAGGGGTCGTTCTCTTCACTGGAGGCCTCATCCTGTCGCCCACCAAGGCTTCCTCAGTTTTTATTCCCTTATTTCCCTCTCCCATACAGCATCCCTTTGTCTTTTAGCCAGCCTCATCATCCAAGAAACTTTGTAGAATGTCCACCTCTCCGGCCTTGCCCCGTCGCTGCCGTACCCCTAACCGTGGAGGTCGAAAACGAGACTGAGAGCTAAAGACTGAAGCACCGATGCCCCAGCCTTTGTCGAATGCTCTAGTTGGTGTGCCGGCGAAATGTCGTACGTATTTGGTCGGTGGCGATTCGTCGCAGGTCGAGTTGTTGGTGCCCTTGGCCGAGGTGAGGACGCATCTAAGGCCGGTATTTCGACCGTACCTTCACAGCGACTGGCAGTTGCGGAGGGTCGGATATGCTCTTGCTTTTTTGTTGGCGATTTGACTTTTGGAGGTATGGGATTGCTTTGGTATGTGGTGAGATAATTGTGGAGAGAGCCGCGAGATGAGTTTGGCTGGGAATGAATTTCCAGAGAAAAAGAAAATATGATCTTAAAGGTGTCAGTTGTTGTAATACGAACACCAGACAGGTTATAGGCTGTCTACGGTTCGTATCTGGGGTGTTGATGGTTGATTTCGTTGAGCTGTGTAGCCGTGAAATCTCTGCAAGTCGAATTTTCGACCAAAGATGCGCCAACACCGCTCCTCCCGATCGCCAACTCGACGAAAACTCTCAAATTAACCCTTTATCGTGACTAAATCTCGGCTCTGGAAGAATATTTCACTCCCAGGTTTGTAGAGGACACCACTGACAGGTGTTCAGCCTTCGTCCTCCTGATATTTGCCGGTGAGTAGCTGCAGGGAAAAGTCTCAAAAATCACTGGGTGCGGGGCTTTCCTGTGACGAAGAAGCCGGCCAGCCGGGCGCAGCAGACCTGTGTGTACCTAAGAGCGTCTCTCAACCTTCCTAACCTCCTTCTTACTCCTCCCCTGATTCATGCCGCAGGACAAATCGTAGGTCGTGAAAGGATGTCAGAAAAGTCTTGGTCGAGAGTGACTATCGTGAAAGAGCCTAGCCTAGCATCCAAATGTCGTTACTGGCGTGGGGTTGTCGAGTAATTCATGTATTTCAGATGCCCTCCTGTCTAGTAGATTCGGAAGTTAAGATGAGTAGGGACGATATTTTTGACGAGTCTGAATCTGCTTTTCTTGAGGGCCGAAGGGTCTTTTACTATGCTTTCGTGGGCTTTTTGTTCGCCCGCCGGTGGGTAACTGTTATGGTTATGAGGTTATGTACGACGTCTTGGAGTTTGGAGCTTAATAGTCTGCGGAGCTGAGGGTAGAGCAAGGTGTGGAGATTAAATTAATTAGAATCTATATGTACATCTATATGTATGTAAAAGGGATGAAGCGGCCTAATCTATCTCTACAAAAGAAGTGTTCCTAAGACCATACGCACGAGCCTCGGCTAATCCCTCGCCGTGCCTTGCTAGCCACACTTGGTTTAGTTCACGTAATGTCTCATTGCTTACACACGCCCATCCATATTGTATATCACAACAGTAGCAGATGTTGTAATTTAACGAGAGATTCTCTGACTACCGTTGTAGCGTTTGGTACCGCATTATCATTCCTCATTCCCAGCATCATTATCATTGCCTTGGTCGTCTCATATGTTATCGGAAGCGTATCTTTGACGGGAGGGGAGATAGCTCAGCTCAAAGTTAAAAGGTGGTGTTTCTCAATTTCGGCCCTGCAGACTCTGCAGTGAGAGCTGGACGTTCGTAGGAGACACCACTTACAGGTGTTGAGAATAGTCCCCCTCCGATATGGTTTCAAAGCAGGATAGCTGAATACGAAATAAAAATCAGATACGATGTAAGCGGTTGCGTTTTCACCGCCATTGTGCAGCTATAGCTTTATTTAAGGCTTCCAGAAGGTGCGTTGTTCGGGCCCTAACAAACCTTCGTAATGTTGCACTTTGAGTCGCCGGTGTAACAGCTAGAAATGAGTGGTCATCAGTTGTCCAAAGTCTCCAAGATTGTTTGGGGTTCGTGTCATGCTCATCCGACCAAAAATCTCCATAGGTAGAGGTCCAACAAATCAGAAGTACCACATTTGAACGCGGGCATATTACAGGTCTATTAGTATCAAGTATTTCCTTGTAGAATATCGTGAGTCAAATCATATAAAAATCTAGATAAAATATTCAGTACGATGTCTTCCTGTCAGGGCAATGAGTTCTTAGTCTACATCTCTCGCAATTAATAACGCCGAGTAATTGACAACTCAATTCTCTTGCCGACCAAAGGACGTGTTAAATTTAGCATTGGCCTGTAGTATTCAGCCCAAGACTTTCAATGGATGAGGATTGTACATTCAGCGCTAATAGACATGTCCTCCGAGTTTAGCTTGGACCCCCGACGTTAACCCTTGACGTAAAATTAGCTTTTATTCACTAGCGATTTGTTGGATATGATAAATTGACAACCATAACATTCGCATGTTTTAACCATGGACATGCGCAGGGCATATGAGATTCATGGAAAGCAGTAAGCTTTTAGATCCACATGCAGATCAACGAACACAATGTGTGTGAATTATCATTTATTATGGGATATTGTCGGGTATCATGGCTAATATGACACATCAACAAAATACCCTTTACATTAGTCGATCCTGGGACCAATCTATGGCTTTTAGCAAAACTTTCGTCTCGCATAAATAGAATCATTTTGATAAGGGTTCTGAATACAAATCATCCCATCTAAATACTTTCCCTGCAGAGCTGATCCGTGATGAGAGTTATCATGGTAAGTTTATTAGACTTTGGACCTAGAAGAAGTCTAAACTAGCACAGTTCATTGGTCAATACCTATAATGATTGACAATAAAAACAGCCAAGAGGGAGATACTCAATCTATAAAGTCGTTCATTTTTCTTCAACTTTAAATCCCTTTTCATTCTATTCTCCAGCTGAATTATTGCATTTAATCATATTCTTAAAATCGATCAGTCACTTGCAGAACATTATGTCTCTCACCACTACGATGAAGGAATACCTGGCCATCAACCCATTAGAGTCTATTTTGGATACTTTCCATGACGGATATAATGCGAAATTTTCTACACCATGCGGTGGCATCTTCGAAAAGCCCAAGGACATGAATAAATGTCACTATCCATTGACTACCCTGGTAAATTCTTTAAAGAACTACCTCAGCGAAGGATTCTTGATAGATTCAGATATTAATAATATTGGATCACGTCTCACTAGAATATGTAAATGGATAAAGTCAACACCATTTGACTTGCATCCATTTGTACCTCTGGCCACGCTAATTCTAAATCATGCTTCCGATACCGAGGTATGGATATCACTTTTGGAACTTGTTGACACGCTTGAGAAGATAATCGAGGCCCAAGAAGAAAAGTTAGACAACCCGGGAGCCAAATCGATGTTCAGGCGGACCGGGATAACACGCGAATGGACGGAACAAACCATGCTTCATCTGAAAACGATGCTTTGCAGAGAGCTGTACGGGTCGGTTTTCATTAACGTTTATGGATTTTGCAGTAAATACTTCACCCAAAAATCATGGACAAATAACTGTATCGAACTGGCAAAAGAATATGTTAAACCCTCCAGGGAAGACGATTTGAAATTTCCGACAGATCTAGACGAAATTCTGGTTTGGAAATGGATGAAGAATGTGGAAAACAAAATTTTCTATTCGTCTAAAGAATCTTCGGAAACATCGACAGAATCATCTCACTCTCTGCCGGCCCAGGCTGTACCCCTTTTGAAAGGCACTCAACATCGTATGAACCAAACAGGCACAATTGATGGTGCACAATCAGATAGACAAGTTGACTACTACATCACGCGGCGAGATGTTCCGACTTCATCCCATGACTGACGCGATATTCTCGTGATTGGAGAGTTAACAAAGTCCTCACCAGATGAATTTATGCGAAAGTATCTACAGCTTTCTGCGCTAATGCGGGAAGTGTTTTTCGCACAGCCACTTCGACGGTTTGTGCACGGGTTTATCCTCTTTGGCAAGTCTCTTCTGCTCTGGGTACACGATCGATCAGGGCCGTACTGTAGTTCACTTATCGACATTGGCCAATCACCGCAGACGCTTGTGTATGTGATGGCAGCGTACATGTCAATGAGCGATGCAGAACTTGGGATTGACCCAAACATTAAGTACGAAGCCCATCAAACTACGATAACGCTAGATGTTCCGGGACCAGAGGAGACGCGCGAGCTTAGACTTTTTCCAGAGCCAGTCGCACAGTCGACGACACTTGTGACCAGGGGAACCAGCTGTTACCGGGATCTATATGGTGGGTATATAGTGAAGTTCTCTTGGAGAATGTGCGGGGATGACTCGGAGGCAAAGCTGCACGAACATGTGAAAGACGTGGATGGCGCGACTCAGTAAAAAATAGCCGACTTCGAGAAGGGCTGATATTCACTCAGACAATGGTGAAAGATACGCGTCCAAATGACAAAGCCATGGCCACTCCACTTGAGTTCACTGATGGTTTTATGTCAGATCAAAAGAAAAGCACCAGCAAGACCACGAAGCGTAAGATAAGGGGCGAGGTGAAAGAAGCCGGGACTGAATATGGACGGTCGAGTAAAAGGGCAAGATCCTCAGCTGGATGTGAGCCAATCCGTCATCGACATCTTGCAAAATATTTACTAACAGTATGAAAGCATCAGTCATGGCAGAAAGAGTCACGGAAAATAGACCATCTGTATCGTTGAATGTCATCATCGAAGAATATGTGTCTTGTGTTCCAGGCGATAAAAGCACAAACATTGCCGAAATCTCTATTGGAGGAGATAGGCAGTCTACTGGGGAGAAACGGAAGAACGTGGAGAGCGACGAAGTCAACGGTCGGATCAAGAGGCTTAAACTTTCAAGCAATGCAGACAATGGACCAACTAACAACCATTCCGGCACCAGCAACCTTCCCGACATAGAAAAAGTCATTGGAATCTCGCCCTTCACTTTCGGAAGTGACCATTTGAATGTCACACACGATATTATTGGGCCCGAACTCAAGGTCAAGGTCAGGGTTGCAGGGATCCGAGATCGTCAGTCCTCGGCAGTTGCGACAACGCCATTTGGACGACCGATCCACAAGGTTGAATCGCCAATTGAACTGGTCATAGGGTTACGTGATGCGATCAAGGCGCATAGATCACTACTCAAAGATGCCATGATATTGCACCGGGATATCTCGGAAAATAACATTATCTTGACAGGATCCGATGTTGGCAAGGACTGGAGGGGATTCTTGATCGATCTAGACCTGGCTGTATTGCTGTCCGATGACAAAGCCCAGAGAAAGACCCAGACAATGACTGGGACTATGGAGTTTATGGCAGTAGAACTTCTTAGTGGGAGTTGTGAAAAAACAGGCGCCATAGTGAATCATTCATATCGCCATGACTTGGAGTCGTTCTTTTATGTTCTGTTATGGCTAAGCATGAGTCGCGGATGGGAAAAGGGTAAAGAACAGAACCGAGATTACCTTTCGAAATGGTTCAGAGGGACTACCAAAGAGATCTTTGAATTTAAGAATTCTCAAATGAAAGAATCAAATATCGAAGATGTATTGAGCAAGTTCTCACCGAAGTTTTATGGATTGAGGAGGCTAGCGAAGAAGTTCTGGGTGATATTTTTTCATACAAATGGAACATATTTTACAGGATCCTACAAGGATAATAACGCGTTGTATAACTCAACCATGGCGGCATTTGAAAAGGAAATTCAGGTGATGATAGAGTAAGGGAAAATTAGTGATAAATCTTATTTGTCAAGGTATGTATGAATAATACGGGCTATGGAGGCCAACTAAAATGCGAAAAAAAAAAAAAATAAAAGATTTGTACTGACATTATTCGTATGACACAGTTAATAGAAAGTTTGATGATCGCAGAAAAGCTACTTAAATTGATGATCATTATTTCACAACCATTTTAGTATGTGAAAAGAATGAATCTTGTGTGTGAAGTCTTCAGTTGTCTATTAGTGTATATTGGCTTACGGCAAAATGACTGATTGAAATTTTATAGATTTTCGTACAAAACAAATTCGTACAAGAACGTTAGATGTAAAGGTCGGTGCGCTCTTAAATGAACCCGGGTTTCTTAAAGGAGTGTTGGTATGACAAAGGTCATACACTACAAGCCAATAGGTTCACTTGAAGTTATGAGAGTACTGCAGTACGTAATGAGAACAATTGTTCGATTGGGTTCGATTGATTATGTATATCTCTCCCCTAAACTATAGCCACGAAGTTGGTATCTATCCTCGGATAATAGTTTACCCGATATAAAAGAATTACAAAGAGAACTGTTATACATCATGCAGGGACCACCAACTCCAAACCCAAGATAGACTCAACCGAATTAATCGTTCCGACACTGGCAATCTCTTCTTTTGTGGGTTAAGTCATCAGATCAATACCGAGCAGCCAAAAGAAAATCATATCCTCTAAGTCTCCAAACTCCTTTTAACCCACCCTTGGACTCGCATCGTAAGTTTGTTATCGTTGATTAGTGTTTCTAATGCACAGTTTGGGTTTGATTTTGTCATCGCATCAGCCGGGTTATCCGCACCGTGAATCCATCGAATGTCAGAAATTTCATGATTTTCGTACGCCTGGCGAAGGGCCATGATATCAATCATGAGTCTCTTTTCCTTCGTTGACCCGAGCTTGACCAGACATTCATATAACGAGAAGGAATCCGTACAGACAACAACCGGGATTGAAGGTACACCAAGCTGCGCCACAATATTGCAAATCGTCGTATTGATAGCAACAGTGACATCGACACCGTTAGACATTGCATATATTTCTGAGGCGAGAATGCTTCTTGTCACCCTTTTGCATTTTGTTGAAGACCAGTGTAGGATATTACCATTAATTGTGAAAGAGTCGTTTCCTGCTTCTTCATTAGCTAGGACAATGACATAGCCGATTTGTGAGCTTAGATCTCTATTGTTGGCGAAAGATCCGTCGACAAAAACGAAGAGACGCATTGAGTCTATGTCGAGCGGGATATACGTCAGTCCGCGGCTAACATTCTTGATCTGCCAACTAATACGCTTGTTCAACCTGGCAATATCTTCTTTTAGAGGTTCCTTGTATTGAGCTGCCGCAGATAAATCAAAGCTGGCTTCAGGTTGACAAATTGTAGCAAGGTATGCACCCCGAGCGCGTTGTTCAACGTATTCGTGAGTATTCGAGACGAGTTTCAGCTTTTCACCTTGGTTCTTCTGTATTAGTAAGAGGATATCGTTCGGCTGCCTTGACAGAATACAGCCATTAAACATCAATGGGTTACTCTCATCAAGAAATTGCTTTTCTTTCGCTTTGAAGTTGGCCTTATGAAGTTCATCTTCCTCTTGCTTTGCAAACGCCGCGTCCGTCATACCCAATGTATCATCAGTTTGCATTCCGACAACGCCAAAATATCTAGAACTTTTGGTTGTCATTAACAAGCATGGGTCATATGTTGAAGTTGTCATGTGTAGTTTTTCACAGTGATGCTTAAAATATGTAGCCCACCAATGAGCTCCAGCCTCTGCTATCCCGTAGAGTGGTTTGATGACGACCATAATAGTGTTATCTGGGTAGTAACCACGAATTTGCTCGGGTGGATATGCTAGAATAGTTCTTTGAAGTTTAGTTTGTGATTGCACATATGCTTGTGTGATATCACGAAGCCAAAGGTGCATGCCACGTTTGATCATTGATGGTGCTAGGGCCATAATAATTCGTTGACTAGCCCGCTGTATAGTTGGGCTTTGGGTTAGTACTGTTTTCTTTCCCTCATCATTGTAACCTTGGACTACTAGGCGTGATTTTTCATACGGGGTCTCAGTAAGCTTTCCTTTAATTTCGCGTACTATGCGAGACTTGAAGATTCGTATTTCACGGTGTTTTTGAGGGTCGAATTTTTCAAAGCGAAAGACGCCGCGCCCGATGAGAGATTCAATCTCTAAGCGATCTGACTCTTCAAATGGCTTGCCAGGGGTGGTTATTTTTCCTTCTCGACGTAGCCTGAGTGCCAAGGCTGCATCATGCTTCTCTTTTTCTGACATCCAAGTTGTGTAGGGGGTATTTTCTATGGCTATTTGCTTTGGAATATTCTTCGATCCTCTTGGACGTCCACGCTTACGTTTTTCGGTTTCCTTTTGCAGTGGTTCCTCATAGTCGTCATTGTCAGGCTCGTGACTCTGGGGTTCAGTGATTGGGTCATCGATATTTAGAGGATCAGGGATTATTGTGCTCTCATTGCGGTAGTAAGGTTTCACGGAGACCGTTCTAAAATTAGTTGCCTTGCCATTGACATCAACAGTACAAGTGACGTCATCATTGCTTCGAGCCAAGAGAATGTATGGTCCAGTCCAGCCAATATTTTCGCGCCAAACTTTCACCTCACTTTGTAGCGGGAGCTGTATTGTCTCGAGGATGTTTGGCCCGTTTCGCATCGATAGTCCTTCAGCAACCTGTCGTGTAGCTCTGAGTTTTCTGACTTCTGCCATTGCTTTACGTATGGCATTCGCACGTATCGAAATTGATGGTGACGATGGTGACAATTCTGAAATTCGTGGATAGGTTCCAAAGACCAGGAGGGTGGGCACTAATCCGTTAGGGCCAGCTGTGTCATTCACCGCCTTAACTGCCATCTGAAGTATATGATCCGAGGTCACCGTGGTTTCTAAGTCCGCTGAAATGACTTCATACGCACGTTTTAGGATATGATGATACCGTTCTACCTTACCGATCGAGTTGTGAGCCTCTACAGGGACTTCTTCAACTTTGATTGCCATTGCGTGAGCGTTGGCACGAAATTCCATGGCAGTGAGATTAGTTCCGGCATCTGTGACAACAATATCAGGAGGTCCGACGTACATGTCTACCCACATAGTGCGCAATGTGTCCCACGTAGTTTTAGCTGTCATATTAGTCATGAATCTTGCCGCTTGGAAAGCGGTGGCCTCATCAATGGCATGAAGTACTGGTTTTCTATTAATATACATGATATCAATTATAACGCGATAGTTAAATTCAATATCATCGTGCAGTGTAAATCGGAAACGACCAGGAGCGCTACCGTGCATCTGGCATTGATGACAGTATTTAGTGATCTTTGCGAGTGATTCACGATCCAGATTATCATATCCAGCACATGTTAAAACCTTGTATAGACGTTCAACAGCTGGATGACCAAATCTTCGGTGCAATTGACGTAATTCTAATTCTGTTAAGTGACACCAGGCGACTGATTTTTCACGGTCCTCAAGAAGAAGCCAAGGATGGCCCCACTTGCGTACAATTGGGTACTTCTTGTTATTATGAACTAAAATGTTCTCGATATTATTCAAGTAAACGCCGTAGCGATCCATATCAGATAGGCATAGCAGAAATGGAGTGTTGGTCGGCATTATTGCAAAGTGGATCATGCCAAATGGAGTTTTCACAGTAACAGTGCCGAGAGATACGGTTTCTGGATGATCACCAAAGCGAACAGAGTGCTGGCCTGCAACTGCTGTATTGATTTTGATACCTGGGAGTTTTCGCTGCAATGCTTTTACCTGATTCTCACCAGCAGTCGAAATACCTGCAGCGCCGGTATCGGGCATAATGCCCTGAAATTCTTCGGCATCATATCGGCTCTTGAAGTGAAAAAGGTGAGCTGGTTCGATGGATATTTTACCAAAGGGGTCTGTTCTAGTTAAGGCATGCATAACCGATTGATTATTGAGCATATTTGTTATGATATACCCATTTATATTACCACACGCCGTGTGGAAGTGCTCAAACTTATCAGAGACAGAGGTCTCACGTGTTTCTGAAAGCCAGGCATGAAAATCTTTATCGTTGGATTCGTCATCTGTATGTTCTTCGGTATCAATTCCTTCGTAGTTAACTAGGAATGTTTCCAAGTCTTCACTAAGTCCCATATCTTGAGCGTAAGCACGCCAATCGCTGCGACGTTGTTTACGTTCTTTGGGAGAATGACGGGTTGACCAACATTTAGGTTTGCCACAAACAAAGCACTTCTTTTGCTGTCTTTCACTTCGGTTGTTATTACCTTGAAAATTACCACGGACATAATTGCCACCTTGATTATTGTTCCAACTACGTGAACGGCCGTTTCCTGAATACCGTCTATCAACGAAGTATTGATTACTTTTGTCGCTATTCTCGTCAAGAGCCATGGCGTTGAAGACTCGAGGTAAATTGTTGTGGGATCTCATCCACATACCGACTGCACTTCGAAGGTCAGAAGCTACACCTTCAAATGTTGCTGCTGGCCGTACCAAGACAATAGAGCATGCCTCGACACCTTGACATGCGCTGATTAATTGACCTGGCAGACTATGACTGTCCTTGTAGTTTTGCACAAGTCCTTGATGGATTTTCTGAAGTTTGTCAATTACCATTTCCAGACATTCAGATATATTTCTTTCCGGGTTTGCCTCAATTGTACTTTTTAGCATTGTTGAGCGCCATTCCATGAGGTAGGCTTGGTAATTTTCAGGGGTGTGAAAGTAGGAGCGCGTTTTTCCAATCATTTCATCAAAACTAAGATTTTGACGAGCTAAGTGTTGGTAGTAAAAATTTTGAGCCTTATCCTTTAGCATGGTGGAGTAAGCCGAGCCGTATAAATCAGGTGTAACACCAGCTTTGTCACACATGTCGTAAAATATTCTAAGTTTAGCATCCAGTACATCATAAAAGCTTCCGCCGAACTTATTATCTGAGTCAACGTA